TMAWGAKMSSGCGMSMRCCGAGATCWACACACTCCTCAAAATCGCCGCGCATGGCCGACATGAAAAAAACCTCAACGCCATCATCGAGTCGGAGGTCAACGAGCCTCGCCAGAAGTGCTTCATGATCCTCGAATTCTGCGATATGGGAAGTGTCAGCGATTACATTGCCAAAGGTCAAAGACAGAGAGGAGGACGTGGATCTGAGCAGCAATCCGCCTGGAATCTCCTGGCTGGCGTGGCTAATGGCCTGGACTTCCTCCACACCGGCAGGATGAACGGTCGCACCGTCTCCCGAAACTGGGATCCGATTTCGCACTTGGACATCAAGCCAGCCAACGTCTTCATCTGCTCACAGGGAGGCAGACATGGCCACTTTCGCATCGTGCTGGCCGATTTCGGTTGCGCGGTCGCGAGTAGTGATATTCAGCGGCAGATCCGACATCCCTTTGTGCAGGAGTGCGGAACGCCATGCTATTACCCGCCTGAGGGTAAGAACAACAACGGTCGTACGACGGAGCTTTATTATGTATGGTCCAACAACGGACATTTGGCAGCTGGGCGCAACGGTTCAGGCATTCTGCAGGTTCATCGACGTGCCTGATCGCGCGCGCGCCTCTCGTCATCTCAAGCTTGTGGCAGTCAATATTCGAATAGGCTGAATCGGCTTGTCCAGCAGCTTTGCAGCTCACAGCGTCTACACCGGCCAAACGCAGGTAACATCGCTCGCGAGGCGGCGGACGCATTCGAGCGATCTGTGAGGAATGGATGGGACTAGTCAATTTCGTGCTCTTGCTGCTTGAGGGCGGAAATGCTGGGAGTTTGAACGCAAGGAAGAAAGGTGAAATCTCWGTTGATAGAAACAATGCAATTCTCAAATCGCAAGCTTACCAGTTCTCCTCTCCTTTGATATAATGTGTTGCTCATTGTATGACGAAGGATGAAGTGAAGACGAAGTTTGTGCTCCGGCAGAAAGCACGCGAAAGCGTCGGCGAAGTCCGAAATGGATCACCGCCCTCGGTAGAACTATATACCTTGCCAACCTACGATTAGATAAACTAGAAAAGAAACCACAGGCATCCACCGTCCCTCTTACATGCCCTCCCACAATTCCACTTCAACAGAAAGACTGTCCGCCCTATCATCCCACCTCCCCCCCCCCAAAAAATGTCCACCCGACCCTTCATAACCTGCCACGTCCTCGACACAACAACCGGAAAACCAGCCCCCAACATCCCCGTCAAACTCCGCCTCCTCTCTCCCATCCCCACAACAACAACCCACTGGACCGCAACAACCAACACCGACGGTCGCGTCCCAGCCTGGACATCTTCTTCCACCGGCGTAGAAATCAACGAAGTAGTCCAAAGCATCAAATCGCAACTCCTCCTCACAGACGAAGATCAAATGATCTGGAGTTTAACCTTCCAAACAGAAACATATTTTGGAAAAGGCAAGACTTTTTGGCCGGAAGTGGAATTAAGATTTGTGGCTAAGAGGGAGGAGGAGCATTACCATGTTCCGTTGCTTTTGGGGCCTTGGAGCTTTACTACTTATCGGGGATCTTGAAGGGTCTACTACATGTATGAGCGTGAGCGTGAGCGTGTAGGGAGATATTGTGATGGGAGTAGTCACACAGAATTGGATGTGGCTTGATTGCAGAGTTGCGATACGCCAGGTGAAAGATGGTAGGTTGAAGAGGTGGCTATGGCTTGTGTTGGAGTGGAGAGCGGGGAGACTGTCGTACTGGGGAAACAGCCTTCTTCAGAAGCATCTTTGCATTACGAAGATTGCAATTGTATGGCAATGCTGGCGGTGTATCTGCAAGCAGAGACAAGGATCATCTGCGTTCGACAGCCATTGGGCTCGGGGGATGCTACCGTATGCACCAAAGTACTACGGATATCTGCTGCGGAGTGATGGACTCCATTGACATTGTCGGACAGGGAGGAGGCTATAGCTTTGCTTGAATGGTACATTAGATGTCCGTTCTCATCGCAGAACACCTCGAGCGTTTGCTTCACCACACTCCACATCTACGAGAAAAGAGTGCTTGAGACGGCAATCTATCAGTTGGCAGGAGCGGTTTTCAGCAATTAAATGCAGGGTATCTAGTATGCTATCGTAGGGACGGACAAGCGAACATTTCTTTTCCAGCTCATCCTGCCCTCCATCCTGTCATGCTTGAATTCGTGTCATCGTGTTTCTCGTTCACCTGGAGGACTACCTCAAAATCAATCGCCCGAGCGCAGCATGTAGATCTTCCTCGCTCATATCGGGGAGCCGCCTTCTTTGAATCACTCGCCCGGTCAGCTTGTCACGTTGTTCGCGCTCCACCACCTCGGGGATAGACTCCAGCCAGCAACTCGTCCTTAATATCCATCAATCATGAAGTTGATGGGTCGGGCAACTTCCCGTACCCTTAGTATCCCACCAAGAGCGAATGCACTTTCTATGAAACTTGCAAAGACATTCCATCCGACCTAGCTCCTGTCCGACTTCGAATTCATCTAGGCAGATCTGGCACTCTGGCAAGCGGCCGTCTTCTTCTGCTATGCAATCTTTCTCCGTGGCATGAAACACTGCCATTCCACGGGGACGATATGGAGGTAGTGGAAGAGGGTTGCTCAGAGTCTCACCACCAGGTCGTGCAACAGGGGTGTTATTGCTGGGAGACCCGGAGGATGTGGAGAATCTGGAGATTACGCAAGCCTGGACGTGGTTTTCACGGTTACTCTCCCCAGGTGGTAGCTCACAGCCACATACCGGACATTCGTCTTCTTCTGCTATTTCCCTGCGGGGTCGTGGTGGTGGAGGCTGCATTGGTGGTCCGGAAGGCGCARATGAACTTGCGCTGGGGGGTCCCATGTTGTGACGACGGTGACGAGCAGCTAGATATGCACTGCTCGATATGGGCGCCATTGAAGAGCTGGGATTTATGCGGCTGCTGTTGTTATAGCTAGGTGCTCGCAAGTCCTGATAGGTATTGGATCTTGGTCGTTGCGAGGGATGCATTCCCGATCGATATCTCGTGGGAGYTGGTGGGTGTGGTATATCGACAGTAGCACTCGCCGGTGCGACTGCGGTAGTGGGATTTGGAGAAAGTGGTGGTACCCATGGATCTGGTACGCACGGGTTGCATACCCTCACCACCTCGCCGCCTCCCAGCTCACTGTGGTGAGGGGTATCATAGGGGGTAACGATGTACTGGCGAGGAATGGTGATGCGGTGGGGAGAGCAGGCAGCGCAGACGACACGCCCGCACTTCCTACAGTGGTGCTTACGGGTCCAAAGCCCAAAGACTGTGTGGCAGACGGGGCACTCGTCCACGGCAGCGTCGGGCTGCCATGCCGGCGGCGTGGGAGTCTCTGCCCCATCGCGGGTTGGGGTGCTGCTTGGTGTGGCCATGCTCGGACGTAGGTTCATGTAGAGTCGTTCGCGTTGTGGGAAAGAAAGTGGAATTCGATGGAACTGGCGGGGATAGCGGGGCGGCGTGGTCAGGTCGATGGCGTTTTGGCGATTGCTTCCGCCCTCTGCGATGGTGGTGGTGGTGGTGGTGGTGGTGGGGTCGAGTGTGTCTCCAATGCGTCTACGCTTGTTCATGGCGAAGATGTGAGCGGACGTGAGACGGATGCGATAGCTGTCCAGCTAACATGGAAATGATGATCTATGGGTGTGCGATAACGTCAAGTTACTATTCAAGCGCAAGGTCGCGTGCTTGCGCGTGAGATCATCCGATCGATCCGCTTTTCTCATCAGCACAGCTTCCCTCATGCACCATCCCGTTGAATGTCGACAGGAGGCTTGATCTAGCGGGCGAGCTTCTGCTCTGCCTCGATTGAAAAGTTAACAGGTGGCATTGTGCGTTCCAAGCCTCACCTCAGCATCCTCCATGCCGAAAGAAATGGAAGGAGGAGGAATCAAAAGTGGCTCACGTGCCTCCAAGCTCCAAGCTTTGCGGCCCCGGCGGGCATCCCTGAAGGCGGTCACGGGATGTGCCGATGGCGCCCTAAACGGCAAGTGCATGTGCCAGGAGTCAATTCTCCGCCTTCACAAACCTAAGTAATATTCATCCCCACAAACTACCTAAGAACGAGAGGAAAGGTCGACACATTGACCGAGTGACCGGTTGACGATCAATCTAGGTGTGGTGTGGTGTGGTGTGGTGTGGTGTGTCAAACCTGCCAGACGAACCCGAAGAATGATTAGAGTCGATCCCACTGAAGTATCACAAGATGTGATGWCCTTCGGAGCTGTCAGTAGATCAGGCGAACCCTCCCATCCCCCTAAGTATAGTAGTACGGCCAACGACACATTAGCTTACCATAAGTCAGTCTGGACAGGTCTCACCAGAGCATCTCTGAAGGAGCTCCCCTCATGAATGATCAGGAGATTGGCCTAGAACCCATTTCGGCACCTTTGCTCTTCGCATAGTTTATTAATTAATCCTCGCAAAATTGTCCTTATTGTGGTGGCAGCATGCATGGCAGACTATCACTGCCAGAACTAGTTCATATCATCGCACATCCTTCGTGTATCGAAATACTTTCTCTCCTTACTTTTTGTATTTCGATACACGAAGGTAGGTAGGTATACAGACCCGCCAAGCCCTCTGGGCTAGCTTCACTGACGACTACTGTATGCGGATCCACAAACTTATACCATCATTTTGACATTGAAAAATCACAATGTCGACTCATCTCTGATGCGACTATTATGTTGTGATAAAACGTCACGAAAGACGCCATTTGATCCAATCCAATCCTCCCCTTTGTGAAGCCGCCTAGAGTTGTAAGAATAATTACATTATTACATTACATCATCCGATCGATCGATCCCATGCACACCGCTGCCTTGCTACCACGACAGCCATTCATTCATTCATTCCCTTATTGAGTTGCCTCAAAATCCACGGTCTAAATCATCCCAAGCGTAAATTGGTGCCAGTTTCCAAATCATCCTCCTCTCCACCCAATCCAAATCCAATCCAATCAACCTCCTTTCAAAAGTTGGTCCCGAGAAAAAAAAAAAACCCCCCCGCATGCATACACACATGCGGCCCGCTTTTCTAACTATACAGGCATCATCCCTCAACAACAAACACACCTCGTACACAACAAGTAAAGTGCCAACGTCACCACATCCACAGACAAACCCACTGTCGACCAGCATTGCTCGCCCAATCATCATCAGCCACGTCGTCGTCGTCGTGGATGTAGTGGTACTCCGTCGCCGCTGGGCCTCCTCCTCGCAAATCTACTACTTCCGTCGCTGTTGAGATCGAGGGGGACGATCCAGTCGATGGTGGTTGATTCCTCGCGGTCCCGCGCCTGTGACGTCTTTGCTGCTGCTGGCGGCGCGCACGCTGCTGCCGTGGCTGCGGTGTGCATGATGATGATGATGATGATGCTGCACCTGACTGCTGCTGCTGTTGTTGTTGTTGTTGTTGTTGTTGTTGTTGTTGTTGTTGTTGTTGTTGCTGCTGCTGCTGGAAGGGCGGGGGCCGCGAAGCCGAGAAAAAGACGCTTGATCCTGGGGTGATAATTGCTGCTGTCGTTGATGATTCTGAGAGTTGATCGCTGTGAATGCTGCTTGCTGTTGCGTGAGAGTTTGGGTTGGTAGGCGCTGTTGATGTGGGTGGGGTTGCTGGGGGAGATTTTGTTGTGCATGTGAGTATCCGCCGCCTTCGGGGTAATTGTGAACGTATTGGTTGCTCGACATGAAGGGTGTGGAAACCACTGGATAGGGCGCTGCTGTGACTTGGCTGACGGGGATCGTAGAGGGTATGTTGGGGGTTGTTGGATGAGAGCGATTCGAAGCTGGCGCGTTGCCGGCCATGTTCCAGCCAAGGGGCTCGAAAGACGGCACGACGTAACCTTGCAGACCTGGATCTTCGAGCAGAAACATTCCGGTGTTCCCCATCACGGCATCCCCGGAAAAGTCCGCCATGGCTGCAGTGTCGACGTGGAGGCGTGGATGGTAGTAGCCTTGAGAGTGCATTGATCGCTGAGACATGGAGGCCTCTCGCTCTCGCTCATCCCTTCGATTCCCCAGCATCACGATCCCGTCCGAGATCCGCCGTACAGCAAGCTCGGCAAGTTTATGCACACCGTTGCGTTGCAATTCCTGAAACACCACAAAAGCCTGTTCCACCAGCCATTGGTTTTGTTCCTGCTCTGTCTCCCATGCGTCGAGGATTAAAATCATACACGCGTTAAACGCTTGCTGTCCCATGGTCCAAGAGATTAGCACGGCAGGATTCCGCCGTCGAAAGAAGAGGAATGCGTGGAGGAGAGAGATTGAAGAGTTGATCACCAAGGCTCTGCCACGAAGTGGTGCTGGATGAAGAGGTTGATCGTTATGCCCAGAAGGCATCGGCACACCCATATTCTGATGTGGACGTGGCGGGGGTCCCATAGAGCTCGGTGGTGAGTGATCGCCAGGCATACCTTGCGTCCGCTCGACTCGCTGGCGGTTGAGAAGTACCAGGAAAGACTGGACTTTGGCGAAAAGAGCTAGAATGCTGTTAGACAAACTCTAGGAATGATCAAAAACCCAGACTTACTTGCAGACATGGCCTCCAAAGGCCAATCCGGAAGCGGCGTCTGATCACGCAACCAGCTCTCGTTGAATTGAAGCGCCTCCGGCATGGTATCCCACAGTCCCAGGAGCTTGTCGGTATATTCATCAATCTTTCCAACATTCATCAGCCCATCAGAACTCAAAATCTGTCGGGCCAGGATGGTGAAGTGATCAATGAACTCTCCCAGTCGTAGAATGGTCGCATTCGATGTCAAAGGCTCGGGTGGTGGACAATCTCCTATTCCGGATATTCCCAGGGGCCTTCCCAGCGTCACGGAGTACTGCTGATCCATATGCAACATCCACCACCACAGCGTCTTCCTTGTGGTACTCTCCCACTGCGGAGGTGCTGGATTCAGGAATTTCGGGTCTCGATGGAGGCCTATTGAGTGCGCCATTCGTATGGTGGTACCGAACAAAGTCCATGCGTCGAGGAATCGACCGCTGTTGGTCAAATATGGACCGATCATAATCAGTGTCTGCAAAGCGAGTAGAGTTGGCGTGTTCATGAATGATGCGAGACGTAATGCTTGCATGGAAGCAGCCACTACATGCCAATCAGTTGATATCTCTCTCAACATCATTCTCGTATACTCACGATACACATCGCTCTTCCTTCTCGTCTCTTCGACTGCTCCAGCTATCCACTCGCCGTGAAGGTCATAGACGCTCATTTGCATGCCGGTAGCAAGCGTCGCGAAGATGAGCGCCAGCATGTCCGGAAATCGCTCAGCGTTACCCTCCATGTCAGATAGGAACCGTTCGACCTCTTTCTTCGTCACCTCGTCCGGAGTGTGTGGAAAGTAGCATGACTGGGCTCGTCGTTGGAACATGTCGAGACAAGCGTAAATTTCATCGTGCGAGGTAAGCAACGCCCGTGCCATCTCCACGGCTGAGTTTCCTCCATGCCATATGATGGGAAATGGATACGCAGCAGAGCCATCAGATGCTGCATACATGTCACGTCCTCGTGGGACTGTGTGTGTCAGAGATTGGCTACCGAATTGAAGGTTCGCGAACTGAAAAATCCGTCAGCTATTACATCTTACAGTACAAACCACCTGTCTTACATCGGCGACTATGTTCGCAAGACCGGGTGTCCCAAAGTAGAGATTATCGACACGTTCTGAAGTCTTGAAGCGTCGTTGTCGTGTCGCTGCCGCTCGGGATGTCGATTTCGAAGCCTTGCGATCAGATTCATCTTCATCTTCCTCCTCCCCAGAATGGGAGAGACGGGACGTTTGCAGACGTTCTCTCAGCCGCTGATTCTCTGCTCGTAACTTGCGAATCTCGTATGATTGTTGTATCGGACTGTAGTCGTTGCCTTCTCCAACAACAAACTCGCATTCCTTGGGATGTCCTCGAGCACAGCAAGCGGAACATGGTTTGGTTCGGTCGCACTACAACTCCGTCGTCAACCATCATTCTTTCGATCGTCAAGATGAAACTTACCTTGACCTTGCGCTCACGGCATTTTGTACAAGACAGTAGCTGACGAGTCTGTGGCTTCTTCTGCCTCTCCCCCGATCCGCTCCTGTGTTGCTGGTTTGACGACGGGCCTGGAGCCGGAGCCGGAACCGACGGTCCATAGCCAGCCCACGATGTTGAAGACATGTTTAGGATCGACGACCCAGTAGAGTGGAAAGCATGCCGGTCTAAATGTCAAGTGGATGCAGAAGACCGTGTTGATAAGCGAAGAGCCACAACATCTTGCTGAAGCCGGACCGCTTGTTCCAGGGCGACTAGTGTTGGGCTATAACATCATCAAAGTGTTGCAATGTTCTTACACCCTCAAAGCGGACAGCTGCATGAGACCCATCAACCATTTCCAGACCCACTCCTGCGAGATCTCTGCCTGTCAAGAGTAGGGGTATGGACCTACAGTAGTCTTAGTGTACACGTACTTGGTAGATGTGGCGTCTGCCGACATATTCGTTCGTCCAATCCCGTCATGGAGTGATGCTCGGCGGTATGCCACTGCCTCTTCCGGTCAAGGAGGGCGAGCGTAGTCGACCCCCACGGCTGAGGTGGTCGTACGCAAACCGACATCCAGTTAGAAGGGAATCAGCCAAGCGAAAGCCAGACCTCGCCCAATGATCATCCGCCAATACGCCCGACATTTCGTGCTACAACGGGCCTGATCAGCTTGCAAAGCGTAGCCTGCCAATGTGTTTCGCTGCAAGTGTCTCGCCTGAGATATGGTGTTGAGCCCTAGATTCCTTTGCGAAATTGCGCATCATATCCCCTGTTGTACGACCTTCGTGGGAGTCTTGCATGCCTGGGTAGAGACAGGTGCCCTGGCGAGTGGTGGCGTCCTGCCGGGCGGAGTCGTTCCAGCGCAGTGGATTGCGGTCAGGGTTGCACGAGCCAAGGGGTGGGCCGAAGGCCCATCCCCGGAAGATCGAATTCGTAACTAGCGGGCCACACACCTGGGACGCAGCCAGCACTCTTCATTGGAAGTGGGCCTGCTCGAGGCCTGGTCAGCACGCTATCAAAAGGCGAGGCGATACTGTATGTAGTAGGGAATGAATGCAGTAGTGAGGATGATCATCAATCGATTGAGCCGTGACCAGCAAAGAGACAAGGGCCCAACAGGAAACGTCCCATCTTGGATATGCCATCGTCAAATGCCACATACCCCAACAAGTTGTGCATCTAAACCAAGCGAGGTTCAACAGCCGAAGCATGAGCAAGCCAGCACTGCACAACATGAGCAGGCTAGCCATGTGAGTCCGCATGCCAACAGGAGCCCAGCACGCATCGCATGACGTACGCAAGGCGGCCACCATCAAGATCCACCCGAAACCAGATCACTTGTATGCGCCTTTGACCCGGTTTGGGCAGCTAGGGAGGCAATGGCGGGCCCAGACGGATGGTATTGGGGGCGTCCATTGCGATGCGCTCGGGCCAGAACGAACATTGCGCCTATTTGGCGGGCGACACAAATGGCCGATGAACGCTCCAACTGGGCAGTAACACATCCACAGCTGGCCATGTGAATACTGGTCTTGTCCAGCGGTGCTGCTGCTGCATGCATCTTCTTTCCAAGCTTGGGCGACTCTGAAATGGGGGCTAACTAACCATGCACCGCCTCCAAGAATGAGGCGCTGCGGWAACTCCAATCAGTCTCGAGCGTGCATACCGGCAGGTCGGCGTCGGAATTCCATCTACCCAGTTTCGGGTCCCGACACCGCATTACAAGATCGTCTTGTGTGGCAGGTTCGGGAAGATCATGGCTCTCCAGTGTGCTGGGTCGCTCAGTCGCGTACATCTGAGATTGCATTTCTCCCCTGCTGGTGGCATCTACAGTACGTCAATGTTAAGAATGATTTCGTCAAGGAAAAGTGATCAAGGGTACGGTCTTGGCAGAATTTTGAGCAGGGGTATACCTCGTCAGTGTTCCAAAGATGTTTGGCTCGGAAGCATGGTCGTCCTTGTCGACCGACCAGACCATCCGCCAATCAGAGCCATGGTCGGTGTGGACTGCACTCGATGGTGGATCTATGAGCCAAGAGATCCGGGAGATGAAATTCCGTTTCAGCCAGATACAGTACGGAGTATCTAAGAATTGTGCAAATGTCAGATAGCTCCCAACCCTGCACTTTGGGCTGGCGCGTGTGACAATTTTGGCACTGCCTAAAGACATTATCCAATTTCCAGGGACCCACCCGCCAGCACGTCACCCCAGCTCTCAGGAACGGTAGCCTGGCTGCCGGGATGTGCAACTGCCATAAAAGGCGCTTCGGTGTGACGCCAAAGCTCAATCGTCGATCATTGAACCATCTTGATTACCCACCCAACTTTCCTTCCCTCCCTAAACACCGTCCGGTATGCCTGTCTTGTCCAACGCCAGTAGCGAGAACCACCCACCAACCACGGGTCGCGCTCTGAAAGCGGCCCCATTCGAGTATGTGCCCGTGTCGACTGTGTGGAGGTCAGTCACCGGACCACTGGTGGGAGTTTCGTTGATGAATTTGACAAGGTCTCGTAAGAACATTGCGGCGGTGTCCTTGGAAGCAATGGCCGCACAGAACATCTCCCAGTCGTTCTTCGTTCGCACGTTCCTCGTATCGAGCGGAACGCCGTACTTTTGCTCCACGGATGGGTAGAAATTGGACTGCATTTCGTAGATTCTTCTCGGAACGATGTTGGTCTTGGCAAGTGCATCACCATACATGTTGTAGAGCAGCCCGTAGGATTCGTCGTCACCGTAGCTCAGGGTTGTGTGCGGTGGGTTTGCGTTCTTGGCAATGCCCAACTCCTCCCATTGTTGAATCCAGTCTTGAGCAGTGCTTCCATAGCGATCACTTGCATCTCCATGTCCGGTCAAGTCCGCCATCATTGCCGCGGCCTTTAGTCCGATGATGCCTTTCAGTGCCAAATTGGTCTGATTTGCCAATGGACCGGCGAAGTCGTCTGTGGATATCTGGTTGAAGGGGATAACGGTATTGTTCGAGATCAACCAATCAGCCCATTCGCTCAGAATCTCCCAATGTTGATCAATGTAGGCAGTGTTTCCCGTCCTCTGTGCGTAGGCGAGTGTCATGATCAACATGTTGCCAGATTCTTCTAGCGGCTGGAGAGCTGCAATGCCATCCGCATGCCCCGTGGCATTGGGGTAGTGATCACCCAGATCGTGGATGGCGTAAGGCTGTGGCCATTCAGCTTCCATGTTGATGAACAATGGGTCCAAGATAAGCTTCATCCACTCTGGGTTCATGTAGAGCAAGATCGGGTGGAAAGGGAAGACAACGTCGACCGTCTGGAAGTTTCCATTGGAGGAAATCTCCTTTAGGAACATGTAGTGCTCTGATTCGGAACCAGCGATTTGAACAGAGGCGAACGCCTGTCGGACCGCCAGTGTGGTGATGATCACGTAGTCTTGACCGCCTACGGCCAGCGCATCAGAAACCACGCTCTGGTCCAAAGCCAGCGTCGACTTTGAGGCAGCAGAGTAATCCTGGTAGAATGCACAGACAGCGGAAAGCTCATCCGAGTATGTGTTTGTCCAGAATGCAGGGATTTTCTGCAGGCCACCGCCAGGGTTGAATTGCACGCTGTTTTCTTGGAGCAGGTTGATGGTGAAGACCGTCTCGATCGAGTCAGAGCCGACAGATCCTAAATCCTTGGCGAATGCGAAGATCGGGAAGTCGTCCTTGATGGCTCGAAAGTTGGTGTCGTTGCTGTCTTGCAGTTCACCGTTGTCGATGAATTCTTTGCGAACACTGGTGTGTCCTCCAGACTGAGTGGTCACACCTTTTCCGGACTCCGTAGCGTAGTACCAGTTTCCCCACGCGGCTTGATCGCTGTTCTCGGAGAATTCCTGCTGCAGCTGTCTCCAGAATTTGTGGTATACAATATCTTGAGAGTTGTCACGAGCAATACCCTGAGTCCACTCTGCGACTTGATCACGGTCTCCAGAAGCCCACTCGGCGCTAACATCGGTGTAGATGGATACATCGTGTGCATTGCCGTCTTTCGATTGCACCTCAACAGACATGTAAGAGACTGGCATGCTCTGCCTCTTCTCATCCTTGGGAGCTACAGGCGAGAGAAAGGTGATGGTCATGGAGACGAGACCGCCAACATCCATGGTGAAGATGCTTCGAGTGGATGTGTAAGTGAAGCTGGTTTGCTCAACGACCTGCGGGAGCGGGTCTGGCTTTCCCCTAGCATGTGTTAGTTACGATCCAGTGTTCCGCTGACATGCAATACTTACATCCATGTGTAAGTTTCATTGTCCACCTTGATCATGCCACACCAGCCATTGATCTGACCGGCCCAGAAGGTAGGCCACTGTCCCGCAAGATACCCTCCATTTCCGCCGTCACTGCCCGCAGGTTGCCAAGTACTGAGGTAAGGCGTCCGCACAGCCAGAGGAAGCGCAGGCGGCCGTGCTGGGCTGAATGTGGAAGCCGACTGGGCGGCAATTGCTGTAATCAGAACAGTCAAGCACCAAAGTAATGAAGACATGATGAAGATGTTGTTGTTGTTTGCAGAGCAACAGACAACGAAAGAAAGTACGGTAATAAGCAAAAGCGATGGGCCCGCCGGCAATTTTATTCACCTGCAAAAAGAAGCAGCTGATGAAAGGTGGATGATGCTGCAACTATCACATGGAATAGGGCTTGGAAAGTGACACGCCAACCTTGAAATCGGCATTCATCTGCCAGGATCAAGCAATACTGAGCCTTTCGGTAGTAGTGTATTGAGTTTGCAGCTCATTTCACGCAGCCAAGCCGCAGTTGTCGTCGTCCGAGATTGTGTAACATGATGCGGGAAGTGAAGCCATGCGGTCCAAGATGAGACCAACGAGGGGCCCCGTCGTTCCGTGGTCGAATGGATGTCGGGAGCATCGTCCGAACGGCGGACGATGGCGCGGATTCAGGGAGAACCGGTCCACCATCATCACTTTGGGGCAGAGTCGTTTGCCAGAGCAATGCAATGCGATGCAATGCAATACCAGCTCGCAATGCCAACGTGCCAAAGTTACCCTGGGCCCACGGTGGCATTTCCCCACCGCCGTGTGCAGAGCAGGGTTCGTGCATCACACATGGATTGGTTCGAAATGGTTCGAGAAGATGGGCAATGTTTGAGCAGGACGGTCAGTCCCTGCTTTGCGATGATGCTGTTCCATGGTATTGCTCTGTTTCTGCGTTGTCGGGCATTCGCAGGGTATCATGTGGCCATTGTATAAAAAAAGTACGTTGACCATGAGTAGGGAGAGAAAGTGTARAGGTAATCGAAGAAGATGCCGGGGGCGGCACGGGACTGCCCCGCTCTCGTCATCTTCAGGTCTTCTCTTCCATGCTCAGGAGGCACGAGTCATGTGTTTCAATCAACATCCATCCTACATGTACCTTCGAAACCGCGACAGATTTAGATCTGGAAACTGCTGTAACGTAGCAAGTCTCCCAAATTGCCATGATCATCAAGCATCAAGCACAGAAGGAACCTGTTAATCTGAGCGATACAAATTCAAAACGCCATTGCTGTCATCGTCCGTCCCGCATCATTGTAAAACTGCCACATGGCTAGTCTGTGATGTGCATTACCTCTCCCGAGTCAAATCCGCATGCCACGCAGATTGTGCTCCTCATTTCAAAAAAGGCGGGCGGGCGTGGCAGAAGGCAACCATGTGGGTGATGCCGTGCATCAAGCAAGGCATTGGCATTTCCCAAAGCCCCTCTTGCATCTTGTGTGACCAGCACTTCCCGATCGTCATGTGAGCCCTCTCAAGCAAGCAAGCACGCACGCCACGGAGAATTAGGGAAATCCACCTACGCAGCAGCAGCGTTGAGGCGGAAAACCTGATGGCGGCTGAAATCTGTGTCACAGGCAGCTGTTTGGAACCGGAGCAATTCACACGTGGACTTGGGCGGCGCTACGCCAACGCCTCAGCCCGCTCGTACAAGATGTACCTGCAGGGAAGAAGAACACATGCCTTATAGGGACTTGAGAATGCGAGGAGGAAAGGCAACGCGCAATCTTTCACTGATCTTTCACTGCTTMTCATTGTGGGCTACTGCAACCCAATTCCACAATTCCAATCTTCTGCCATCCATCCATCCATCCACTATCTATCCGTCTAAGAAGGAGGAAGCGTATCAAACGTCTCCGCAATCTTCGGCTCCCAACTCATCTTAGCCTTGCCATAGATCTCAGCAGCGACAGGAAACTTCTCACGACCCTCCTGAAGCAGACCAGTGCGAACAACAATGGTATCCGGACCCATGACTTCCTGGTGGTGGTAAATGTGCGTGGTACACTTTGGACAGAAGTAGCAGTTGACCGCCTTGCCACTGTCTCCGTAGTAGATGTACTTGGATGGCTCGCCGCCGCTGGTGAGTTTGAGCTGTGACTTGGGGATGATTTGGTTCATCGTGTAGGCTGTTGATGATGAGATCTTTGTCTATATGAGTAGAGTATGTGTAGAACAGGATACGTACCACCTCCGCTGAGAATCTTGCAAGTGTTGCAGTGGCATAGGATGTGCTTGGATTGGTCTGCAGTGAGCTCCACTTCCCATTGATGGTGGCCGCAGTGGCACTTGCCGTTGTAAGAAGGCATGTTGGAGAGGTTGGCTGGGTTGTCAAGTTGAAAGTCTTGATGTAGTGTGGTTGCAAGTTGAAGGGGATTCGAAGTTGAGACTCCTACCGTGCTGCTGCATGCTCTTATAATTCACGATACGGCTTAATGACGGTTGTGGGGCTCTGTCCGCGTCGCGATTGTGGTTTGGATGCCCCGCATGCTTCAACTGTGTAGCCCTTACATCAAGCAGTGAGCTTCACGAGTCCCTCCAGATGGTGGTGGTGCTGCAATGGCCCAATGATGGGCAGTTTGCCGTTGGTCGGGTGCTGCAGTAGTGCATCGTCTCTCGGCAGGGGAGATGTTTCGCCTCAGCTTGCATGATGGCGGGGCGGTCAAAGGGTCGCTTGCTTGGCTTTTGGGAGCGGTGTGTACGCTCTGATTGATGAGGGTGCATGGAACATGAGGAAACAGTACTACAGTTCGGAATTTTCTGGACCAGGAGGCCAATCTTTGAGAGCTGAGGAATGTGTGCAGTTGTGGATCCCCAAAACGGTGTTGGAACATGATCCAAGCACGAATCTGCACGTCGATCGGTATTCTTTGCGGATTGGAAGAGAAGTGAAGTGGAACGAGGAAGCAGATATCAAAGACGAGGAATGAAGTTGACAGAGAAGTCAAACTAGAGTACCTTGACCTTGCGTGATTGGCACGTGAAACCATCAAGGTGTTCACTAATGGCCATGCAGCAGGAGCATCTGATATGTCGTTATCTTTGCTCTCCATCGTGTCCGATAATTCTGCGCGTCGAAAGGGCCGCGTAGGATCCAAAGACCTCTTAATCGCCTGCGAGAGGGCTTTTCAACGCATGGCAATGTCGAAGGAACGCCCTGGTGATGAGGGGATTTCCCTAGCAAGTCGACCACACGTGACAATATCATTTCCAAAGGGTCGCGACCGCATGTTTTCAAGCCACGCAGCATTGATGATCTCGCCTGTCGATGACCGCCTCTCCGCTGGACTGATGGAAATCCCTGTTGACCCTAGGAAGGTAGGGGCCACTGTGATGATAACCGCATCTACGAGCTGCGGGAGCGCCAGGAGATCTTGTATCACCTGAGCACCGCCCTCAATCATAACACTGTTGACGCCTTGCTTCTTAATTGCCTTCAAAATGTCCCTCCATGCCAGCCTGCCCGCTTGTTTCGGGACGGAAATGGTCGTGATGTTATGACGATCCGTCTCCACGGCCGCAATGAAAGTATGTCCCGGTACGTCTTGTCCACCAATACGCCATGGAAACTTGCCTTGTTTGGTAGTGGCAAGGCCATGGACTTTACTAGTCGGGCCCTGCACTGCCCAGCGACCGTCCATATCCAGTATCACGGGCTGCGGCTGGTCATCGAAGCTTGCACCGGGATATCGGCAATTCAGACTTGGATTGTCGACTTCAGCTGTCGCGCGACCTACCAGAATGGCATCGTGTCGTGCCCGGAGGTAGTGGGTCATGGATCTGCTCTCGACACCGGAAAGTTGTGTACGCAAACCGCGTCCCAGGGCAATTTTGCCATCGAGTGACTGGGCCCAGGTCAATGTGGTGTAGGGCAGCTCATTGGCATCATCATCAATTCTTTTGGGCATGAAATCTTCGAGGAATGTGAGGTCTTCATGGCTGAGCTCGTGCACTTCCGACATGTTGATGTCTATGTTCCTTGTTTCGAAGGTGTGTGCAGTGGAATCGAAATTTGAGTCACAGGCAGGGCACGGAACGGAGCACCTTCCGTCTTACATGGATGGATGGACTCACGGATCTTTTCGAAACCATTTGTTTTGTGCCGCAGGTCGGCCTGTCGGTATCAGAGAGATCCAAAGTGCAGCACCGCCAGACGAAAAACGGATGTTCATGGTCACGTTGCGCAAGCTTCCCACCTTTCTGCGAACTTGGTAATAGGGTTAGGGTTGGGGTAGTGCATTTTCGTCGTCGTCGTCTTGGATATGGCAGGAACTTACTGTCCTTCAACGTAGACGCACAGCTATGTCAAAGAATCTTGGATTCCGCGCATGGGCCCATTAATCTGCCCACGAGCCTCCCCTACCACTGTTCTTCCAACTCCTGGAGGAAAAAAACGAGGGTCGTGCGTGCATTTCAAAGTCGTCACTGGAGACTGGTTGAGGTATGTATAGACATCGACTGTCATTGAAGGGCAGAGCTCAAACCCACCCACTCCTCTACGCAGACAGCAGCAGGAATAATGTAACCATTGCATGTTGAGATGCTCTCGCATAGACCAACGGCCAAGACCACCCTAATGGTGAAAGCAACGTGGTGTCTCGGATGAAGCTCTGTATCGAAGTTCAAGGCTTCATCGTATGCCTTTGCGTATACATACACACGTAATTCCTCGTTGAATATGTAACTCCTCGTTGAGAAGATCGGRACGTTGTAGTTGGTGGTGCAAGGCTGCTCCTCCAATTCCATTCCCACAGAAAGTGACTGCATGTCGGTCCGGTGAGGTTGAATGTCTTCGTTTAGCAACGACCCCTGTTCTTCTTCCCTCATCCCGTCAATTCCACCGATGGATTGTACTAGAATTCTCTGTTGCAAATTCTTCGTTGTCCGAGCAATTCGATCCATCCATCGTTGATGGTCTCGTCAGAAGTGGTCATTGCGATGGAGTCGTCTTGCTGGTTCTAGGCCCACGCAAGAAAACCGGCGCGGAGCGAGGAAGCAACGCCGAAGCTCAACCGGATGAGATCAGGGCCCCACTCTTTTCGAGGAACCTTGTTGATGACGGTTTGGCTTCTACTTTCACGCAACTGCCATTCACCTCCAAAAAGTATGTTGATGAAGCATAAACGACACGAGCATATCCAGAGCTCAACAATARCCCCTGCCATCAATGCACCTGCTCAGCCAAGGTCACGCAACTCTCAACCAGAAAAAGAAAAGGAGCACATTGTACAGGAAGGTAGCTCACTTGCAGTTATGAGCTCAACGCCTGCCCCACTATCAGTGACGACGTGGGCAGCTCAGGGACCATCACTGTGATGAGGGGCAATGCCAAAAGGTTTTCAACCTGGGCATTGTTTATAAGGATTTCTTCGGCCGCCCTCAACCGCAACACATATTCTCTCCCTCCTTCATACCCAAACATAACATCACACCCCTTTTCCACACAACCACACCACCGCCAACATGCCTCAGAGAATCCCAGAAGCTACCGAGCTCAAGGACCTCCTGTCCCTCAAGGGCAAGGTCGTCGTCGTCACCGGTGCCTCGGGTCCCAAGGGAATGGGCATTGAAGCCGCCCGCGGCTGCGCTGAGATGGGTGCCGATGTTGCCATTACCTACTCCTCCCGCCCCGAGGGTGGTGAGAAGAACGCAAAGGAGCTTGCGGAAAAGTACGGAGTCAAGGTCAAGGCCTACAAGTGCCAGGTCGACAAGTACGAGGACTGCACCAAGCTCGTCGCCGATGTCATCAAGGACTTTGGCCAGATTGATGCCTTCATCGCCAACGCCGGTGCCACGGCCGACTCTGGTGTGCTCGACGGCTCCGTCGAGGCATGGAACCACGTCATCAACATCGACCTGAACGGTACCTTCCACTGCGCCAAGGCCGTCGGTGCACACTTCAAGGAGCGTGGTACCGGTTCGCTGGTCATCACCTCTTCCATGTCCGGCCACATTGCCAACTTCCCCCAGGAGCAGACCTCCTACAACGTCGCCAAGGCCGGCTGCATCCACATGACCAAGTCTCTCGCCAACGAGTGGCGCGATTTCGCCCGTGTCAACTCCATCTCGCCCGGATACATTGACACTGGTCTCTCCGACTTCGTCGCCAAGGACGTGCAGAAGCTGTGGCACAGCATGATCCCCATGGGCCGTGATGGTCTCGCCAAGGAGCTCAAGGGTGCTTACGTCTACTTTGCCTCGGACGCTTCCACCTACACCACCGGATCCGATCTCCTCGTTRACGGTGGTTACTGCTGCAGGTAGATGCACAATACACGATACCCATGATGAATGACTGCAATGGATGGATAGGGGATGTTTGCTATTTGATGATGATGTTGGATAGCATGGTCTTGTGTACATGGGGCTGAAAATAAAAAAATATTATGTACGCTATGGACGACATTGAACCAGACTCCTTGAACCATCCTTCTCCTTCTCACCTTCTGTGACGGCTTGATTGAAAACGACCGAATAAGTCCCATCATGTGATGTCACGCAGTGTAAGATCTGCTAATCCTACAGAAAACATCACAAATCCTCCATGGATGCTTGCACTATACGCAACGCCATTTTTATGATCTATACCAAGCAGCGTTGACCATGAGGAACATCAATGCAAGTGTTGAAGTGATCAATCTTCTAGCACAYTCCACTTACATTGTACTGCCTCTATCTTCCAATGACGTCGGTGTTCATTATCGGTCCGTTACTGAAGAAGCCGAATGTCCGACTGTCTCCAAGTTGACTTCATCTGGTCTCCATTCTCTACCATATTACCAAAATATCAAGGTCTTTTGCAAGCATTCTTGTACCAGATAGATATGTCGAGACCTTGAGGATGCAACACTCCAGTTCTAGCATCCACCAATTCCTTCAACAAGTCAATCAACCTCCCCTCACCCCTCCCACTCCACAAAGCCAACTCCATCCTCAAACCCCACCCCTCTACGGCACCAAATGCGCCTCCATATAAAGCAGCACCTTCTCCCCTCTCCCCACCACCTCCCTCGCAACCCCCTCATCAACAAACATACCCACAAAATCCTCCCCTCCCATTCTATACAACAACGCCTCCTCCTCATCACGCCCCTCCACCCCCAACAAAGGCCTAATCCACAATTCCAAATGCCACCTCCCCCACAATCCCCCTTCCCGATCAAACAACCACCAAGTACCCCAAACATCCTCCCCAGCCTGCCTCTCACACCACTCCTCCAACCCTTCCATCAATCCCCTTCGAATCGCCTGCATGCCTCCCATAGTAGAAAAATCCCCCCCAACGCTGACGACCACTTCTGCGGGTAAAGGGAAACTCCTAGGGAAGCGTGGAGGTATACTCCCACGACTCCGCAATTGATTCACAAAGCGAATCAGAAGATGCACTTCCCCACGAAACATCTCCTTCTCCGTCTTCATGGAATTGTATTCCCGAAACGTCATCTTTGGCACGCGAGGTTCCGGATACATCTCTTCCCTTCCACTCTCAAGAAACACCCTCTCGCGATTCTCAGGTCGTAGATTCTCAAACAAAACCTCATAAAACTCCCCCTGAGAAAGTCCCCGATACCTCTCCTCGCGGAATTCATCCGGTGGCATCGTCCAGATTTCCTTATTCCTCTCCTTCGACGTGGACAAGAAAATCTTCTTTGGATGGGGACTTGTGGCGATTTCCGCTTGGGTGCCAAAAGCGACTGGAGTAGCTTGGGAGAGATTTCCGAGAGGATGGGGAGAAGAGGAGAAGGAGGGGGGAAAGTGGTATTCGAGGAGTTTGACGGTTGAGAGATGGGTGGGGCGGGAGGGGTTGTAGCGTTGGAAAATCCCCCAGTGGAGTTGGGGGTAAGGGTTGTTTGTTGGGAGGTATTCGGGGAGGGTTGCTAGGCGGTGGTGGATGTATGTTGGTCGTGTGGTGGTGGTTTTGGTGGGAAGAGATGGGGATTTTTTGTGGAGTTTGGGAGGGATGGGAGGGATGGGAGGGATGGTAGTGGTGGTAGTGGTGGTATTGTTGGGCCTGGCTCTGCCGAGAAATGTCGTGGTTTGATCTTCAGGATTGAAGACGAATTTGTAGCCCGCTTGACTGGTCGTGACTTCTTGTTCTTCCCTCTCGACGGAGGCTCGACGATGCACCAAGACGGAAATATTCATCGTCTTACTGCGATGATGGAAAAGCATATCCCCCACCCTCTCAAAACGCAGAAACGTCTCGCGATCACTGAGGAATTTATCCCCCTCATCTCCATTCTTCACACTCGCCATCGTTAGGATGGAATCCGGATGGGCGTCTTTGTACGCGGCGGCAAAAGTCTTGCCGTTGTGACGTGCTTGTGTACATTTCTCATCGATGATTTGGAGGATTTGTTCTGGTGGGGTGTGGAAGTCGAGGAGTTGGGTCATGGGTTGGATTGTTAGTTGCTTGTGTTTTGGATCCGCATAGCTGCGATTTGGGGGATTAGTATGTTTGATGGCTTTTCGGCATAGATTGGGGGAATGGGAAGGCCTGTTGGTTGATTATTTCCCTCCTACTTACCGGAACTTGATGATGAGATTCACATCATGAGTTGGTCGAGATGGTGGTCGCAGTCCGCTCGACTGCATTGCCTTGATCAACGTCTCGGCTTTATCTTGGATATCAAGGTCAGAGTCCGTCGCCGTCCTGCTGGAGTCCGAAGAAGGAGATGAGATGATGATGACGGGAATGGATGATGATGAGGCGGCCATGCTGAACGATCGATTGATTGATTGATTGATTGATCGATTGAGGGTGACAAGCTTGCGAGGTGTTGGAGAAGACGAGGAGAGTGCGCGCAGAACACGACAGGCGATGGAAAATTTAAAAGGCTGGCGCGTTGTAGGTTGTTTGCTAGCCGAGAGGGAACTGGGGGTTTTTTTTTTGGAACTTCTTCTTTCTTCTTTCTACTCGATACTCGTTGAATCTCGATGATGATGAAGTTTCCGGAATGACTGTTCCAGAACTACCGACAACAACAAAAACAACAGAAGGAAAAGAACCTGCACGGACACTTTGTCACATGCAGCCCGAAAAGTTGGGACCCCCTGAAAAAGAAACTCAGGGTACTTCCCGTCACCTCAGCAATTTGGTGATATCACCTAACGTTATGCCCGACACAGCAAAATTAAAAAAAAAAACAGGGAAGACTCTAAGATGTGTATGTATAGTATGTATAGTATGTAGAAGAAATGGACATCATACCATTCATCAACATGGTACCACCTAGCGAGGGGCGTGAGCTCAAGGAGGGTGTGAACTATTCCACTTCGAAGACACATCCAGGAGACGTGGAGAGAAGAGGAGCGACTCAAGAGGATGGAATAGAAGACATCACTCGGGTGGGATCACGCGAAGAAGTCTCGTGGCAAAGGGGATGAGCGAGAATGGGATCCATGCGAAAACATGAGTTAAAATCGAATGGAAGGCAAGCTAGGATCACACAAAAGGAAGGCGAGGGGCAGGCGCGAATGAGGACCACAGACCAACACTAACTTGGAGTCTTGGTTGAGGTATTATGACGTTTCGCTACATTGTGAAGACATAAACGTGTTTACACCATAGCATTCCCAAAGATGATTACAAAACGTTGCAACATATCAATGACATACAAAAAATGTAGAACACAGCAGTGTGACGAATGCTCGTATCACATCTCCATACGACCCTTCATCGGTGTCGTACGCGCATCCACTTCAGCTTCCCTCCTCAAACCTCACCCTGCTAGCCATCTGCGTCTCATAGAGTTCGTACCAATCATCACCTCGATACCTGTTCCCTCCTGTTCCCCTCTGGTGCTCACAAGGTGGTGGTCTCAAGCCATTGATAATCCTCTCCGTGTCCGCAGCAGAACGCGCTCTCTCCAAAGCAGCATATCGCTCGATCTCTACAGCGGTAAATAGGCGACATTCCTTGCAGTTATAGTTCCTGAAGTAGCGACGGTCCTTCTTCTTTTCCGGCTTCTTGACGGATAGGATGATCTGTCCCAATCTGGCGGTTCGGATACAGTCTGAGCCACGCCGATCGTTCTTGTAGCGTGGCGAATGGATCTCGGTGTTCAATTRGATGCTCTGTCTTCGGCTGGTTGGAGCGCCGGCCAGACGAGCATGGTTCTGGCGATCGATTTTCTCGAGTGTAGAGGCAGCTGAGGTGTCCTGGAATCGGGTTGAGGGAAAACAGTCTTGTTCGTTGGAAGAAACTTGCTGAGATTGCTGAAAGGAGAAGTGTGGGCTGAAATTGTGGGTATCTTCGGTGCGGATGGAATCGTAACGGACGCCTCTGATGGCGCGGACGTGGCCGCAGTAGTATTCGTACTCTCTTGTTGGCATTTCGAGGAGGATGATGTTTTGATGAGGCTTCGCAGGCAGTTCCCGTCTGATTGAAGAGATGTTGCTAAGTTGGTGGTTGCAAGTATAGTCGACATTGGGAGTTGATATATCTTCCATACTCCATGTCCTGATAGGATGGACAAAGGGTGAGACATGCAAACCATGGCCCGCACAAACATTGTTCGAGGACAGCGACACGAAAATGTCTTGCTATGTTTGCGCAGGTCGAAGTCTTCGGCGATCGGTAATGTAGGAGCTAGCCAGGGAAAGCTACCAAGAGACAATGAAGACTCAGACACGGCCTTGGATGTGATAGATTTGTCAAAACGGACCATTTGGCTCGAAGGATGGCAATCATGCCCCATGGCAACAAACGCAGTATGCTTGGCGGCGGTCGAGGAGCCTGCAAACACCACTCCTGTCGATCAATGACTGCGCCCAGAGAATGGAACGCGCCCTGAGAGATGCCTAATCCGGCGTACCAGGCATGTGTAGTAGCCATACCGGCAAACTACGTCTTGTGTCATGCATTGGAGGCGATAGCCGTCGAAGCGATCAACGTCGCATCCTTCTCACCATTCATTGCGAAGCTGAACCTTGCCCGAGCATCCATAGTCCTCCAGTCTGTAGACCTGTCGGGTGCTTTCGTAACATTTCGTACGCGTGTCGCAGTGATGATCCGCCGGTATGATCTCACCCGCAGTCCTTTTCATCCTCTCGATCCATTACACCTTTCAAAYCTCCTCCATCCCGAGTCCTTCGTCTTCTTCCCCATACGTCTCCTCCATGCTGGGGATCTTCACATCCCACTTCTCCACCACATCCTCGCCATCCTCATCTCCGCGGAACTTGAAGGCCACAACATCTCGATCTCTGAAGCCAGCGCCTTGCGGACAGTCTGTAAGCTTGGCACTCCCTGGCTTCGCTTTGAGAGCTCCCACCGGCGCCTTGCCTTTGCCCGTGACATCGCCGTTGCTCTCGGTGGCATCTTTGTCGATGTCGGTGTAGCCAAGTGCAAGCCTGTTGCGATCAATCGCTCGTCCCAGCAAGATTTCGTCTGCGTTTTGGGGAATCTCGTGGCCATTGAGTTTGCCCGATGGGTTGGTTTCGTGGAGAGCGTGCAGGAGCTCAGTTCGCACCAAGGAAAGCTTCTGTAGAGGGTCGACTTCCAAGAGAATGGTTGTGTTGGACTGTTTGAAGCGGAGTGTCCATGTTGTAGGCGACGGTTTGATCGGCATCTTTGCTGAGTTGGTGGTGTTGGTTGTGTTCGGGACGAAAAGTAAAGTGGATGAACGTCATACTGTCCCACCACAAGATGACGGGAAGAGTGGGGGCTGATCAGGCACCAAGGCATCCTTCCGAAGATCCCAGAGATTGCGATTGAGATTTCCAGCTTTCTCATCCATCGCACACACACTCCAACGTCACCACTAACCTTTACCCAAACTCAGGCATGTTCCCCCAAATATCCCATGGCATTCACCCGAATGATGCTTCCAAAGATAGCATGTATTACCCGAACAACATTGTGGATACCATCTTCCATATCTGACCCGCAACCCTCCATCCACGCCGATACGCTCATGCATGACTGGTCAATGGCAAGAGACTGACTCTTTACCTTAGATGTCATCGCCAAAAGCTCCTCAAGGAAACTTCACGCTCCTCTATTTCGCCGCCGCGACATCTTACACCCGCAAAGAGCATGACTTTTTCCCAGCTCCTATGCTAGTTTCYCAGCTTTACGCGGCTGTGGAAGCGATGTACCCGGGCATCAGGCAAAAGGTCTTGGAGAGCAGTGCATTGACTGTCAACCTCGAGTACGTCGACGTCCAAGAGGAGACAGCAAAGAGCGATGCGGGCATGAGGATCCAAGCGGGCGATGAAGTGGCCATCATACCGCCCGTGAGCTCTGGTTGAGTCATTCAGGCTTGTCGAGTTCTCGTCTGGTCACCACTTGGCTTGGATATGCATCCTTCCGTGCCTCTCGAGTTCCCGCTACTCGACGGATCCGAAAGTAGCCCGGAGCCTTCTGCACGACCTTCGAGGAAACTCGCCAAGACAGGTAAGCTTCTCGAACCGCGCTCTCACCTCATATCACCTAATGATGATAACGTATTTTCCTTTAACTTTATGATCTAAGTGCAGCGAAAGCTGTTACCATGATTCCCATATACACATAGCCAATCCGCTGAACTCCACCCGCCGAACCTATCCTACCAACAACATGATCTACAGTACTGGGACTGCGTGCTGACCCGAAATCTTCAGATATTCCATTGAGAGACTTTCACACCGTGCGTTCGACATGCGGGCTCGGTTTACCGCAATCAATCCAGGTATGCTGACATCTCTTTTGCCGCGCCTTCACATGCCTTCAATGATGAATTTGTATTTTCCTTTACTTGTATGATCTAAGTGCAGCTTTCGCGAGCTGTTTCCCTGATTACACGCACACAAAAGCCAATCCTCTGATCCCTCCGCCACGACATACGCCTCGATTCTCATGAGCACGCTTGAGGATCTCGCTGATGGGAATTAGCAGTAGACATCGCGCCAGCAATGTTTTCTCGCAATCTTGCCGTGCCGAGCGCGCACACTAGCTGGCTGACGGCCGACGTCCAGTTCATGGCTCAAGCTGTCGCGGTCTCACCAGTGTCCGGGACCCTCTCTCGTGAAACGAATGCATCCCCGAGGCACCAAAACATTGTTCAAGTGTCGGCTTCCTTTCTGCTTCGCTGTCATCGAGGATGACAGTTCTTACAGAAGCGTCCGAAGCGTTTCATTACTTGAGAGCTTGCTGTGAACGGTACCAGGAGCGCGGACCAGCCTTGCTTCGCGGATCCCGTGACTTCTTGTTGGGGCCTCCCTTCACACGGCCCTCCACGATCATATCAATTCTATTCCATCGCACGACGGCAAGTATTGTTGCGGTTGTGCAGGCGATTGCTTCAACGAGAGTTAAGCACGAGGAGCTTTGCATCTCGATCTGCAACATTGTGGCTGATGCGTGGTCGGCGTTGCCTCAAGGCCCCGTTGAATCTTGTGTTGCCATACATTTCAGTCCTCGACCTTGAGGGCTGGTGTGTTGTCGCGACCATGGCCTTCTGACAACGCCGGAAGGTCTTGCCGTTGATTCGACTCGTGTGAGCTCTCCGCGGACTGTCTGCCTCTATTTCGACCAATAGCAACTTGAAGCTGCTCCGAAAGTTTTCCGACTCAGGGCACCGGACTCGCCTTCCGGCGCTATAAGATTCTGCATACCCCATCACCAATATGCGGAGTGAGTTGTATAACGGCAATGTATCAAAATTGGGTGTGCCGGTGTCAAGGACTAGATGTTTCACATCAAGCATATCCGGGCAAAGACCAACGTCGGTGTAAGCATCTTCTAATCTGCAAAGATGTATAGTGCTGATGCGAGAGACTAGTAGATATCGCGGCTGCACGTCCTTTACAACAGAAGCCTCACATACTTGTCATGTTCGAGCGTGAAATCTGTGCTTGATCGACGCTGCAAGTCTTTCATTGCTGCCATTTCAGCTGACTCGCCGTGCCCAGCAAAACCTTACTTTGTCCACGATACAGCGGTGCGCATGGATACCACCAAATGAAGGCCTCGCTATTGAATCCTCAGCATGTTGACAAGTTCTCGCTCGCACACCCCGCGGGCTGATCGCGCCAGCCCGTCCAAACCAGACCCCCACTTCAAGTTCTATGCATGTTCCCACAAGGGTCGCCCAATCAGGTCCAGATCTAGCAGCCATCCGCCAGGTACACTAGCGACTGCGGCGGTGTCTTCTTCAGCTACAACGACGACGCAGACGGTGCGTCGGACCGCTGGTGAACCTATTTACTCATCCATTGAACTGTAAACATCCATCGGGGTCGTTTTTACCTAGCGGGTGACAACATCCGTACACGAGTGGAGTTTACGCGCGATCAAGTCCTGGAAGGGAATCGCACTATTTGGCCACTGGCTCCAATCGTAATATAGTGTCGGCACTATATACTAGCCTTCATCTCCAGTCTCAAACAGACTGCCGATCATTCCTGCATACAAAAGGGAGAAGTTTAAACTTGCCATTTGTCGCAGACTAGCAGGTGCTAGCTCAAAGCTCAAAGCCTCTAGGGCAACCATTTCCCACGAGGAGGATCTCCTTCGCCCTCATCAATGCTATCCTAATACCTTATTCCATCACGCTTCGCCGCGCTCATTCCTTTCCGCGCTCATTCCTTTCTCCACGCTCACTACAACAATACTAATCATGCGTTTTACGCTCACGTTCCTTACTGGCTTGGCTGCCACATTACTTATGACAGGAGTGTCAAATGCTCGAACGTTCAACGCAACCGCAGTACTGGAGCTCCCCGAATGTGTCAAGCAGTGTGGAATCGATATTCTTCCGCGGTACAATTGTCTGGTGGGAGAGGACTGCTGGTGTGAAAGAGAAGGCCCGCTGCAGGACGAGCTGTCACAATGCGTTCTGCTAGAATGCCCCGAGCTGCGCGAGGCGCTCGAAGGCCTGAAATTCCAGGCGTTGACATGTGATTGGCCAAGAGACCGGAATCTTGGTACGCTGGCGACTGGTATCTCATACGCCCTTTTCAGCGTGGCATCCTTCTTTTTGCTCGCACGATTTCTTTCTCGATGGCCTTATTTGAAAGGAGCCGGGCTTAGCTGGGATGACGGTAAGGAGTGCTCGCCTCTGTTGATAGCTCGTGGACGACTAAATGCTAATTATGATCTCACGCAGCCATTGTTCTCGTCTGCTTCATTCCGGTCGTGGGTATGACTGTAGCGGTCACAAAAGAGGTTGGATACGGCTCAGGAAAAGACACTTGGATGCTGGAGATTGAGGATGTTGTAAACTACGCAAAGGTTGGTAGCTCCAACATCTCCTTTGCATCCCCATTACTGACTGGCACACAGTGGTTCTACATCGCCATACCGATGTACATCGCAGCCGCCTTCACTACGAAACTATCACTCATCGCTCTCTATCTCCGTGTATGGCCAGCGAGTCGCGATTGTCGCTATACAACCTTCCGGCGACTATGCTGGACCATGGGATTTCTTTTGGTCGGGGCCGCACTCGCATGCTCTTTGGCCATGATCTTCGCATGTCACCCCATCTCGAACGCGTGGAAGTACGCAAATACCGGCAATGGAACCTGTATCAACAGGGTGGCAGCTGCATACGCTTATGGTGGTCTGAACGTTATTTTCGATCTCATTGTGATCGCGTTGCCGATCCCAAAACTTCTCCAGTTGGATGTGTCCAGGAGACAGAAGATTGGAATTTGCTCATGCTTTCTGGTCGGACTCATCGCCACAGGCTGCTCCGTTACGCGCCTGTTCACGCTGCAAAACCTCACCACAGCGAGGAACATCACGTATGATTTCCCTCTCAACAACATGGAGGTGCGCCCGCTAACCTGTACCTTGCAGCTGGGACTTTCTTCCCTGTGGATTTTGGAGCATCGTAAGCATTAATGAAGAACATACTGGCCTCAAAATAACGTACTAACGATATTCAKGTCGAAGTGTATGTCAGCATGATCTGCTGCTGCATGCCAGCAATGGCCGGTTTGATCAATCGCTGTGTTCGCCGTGTCGCAGCAGGTACCTTGAGCGGCTCCAACAGGACCCGCCTGCCTTCTTTTGAACTGGCACAACGACCCGAAAGGAAGGTGGCGTACGACACAGACATGGACACGTTGGACTCCCAGTCACCAGTTACTCCACGGATGGTCAATGCTTCCGGAGACCAGTGGGGAACTATGCCGCCGCTTACGCGGAAATATACAATCAGGGGCGGTGTAGTCAAACCGGTAGATGTGGAAAGTCTGAAATGATCCTGGATTGAGGGCAATTCTCACGCTGGTCACGCCTGGCCACAGTGACATCCGATGGAAGCTCTCTGTCCCACGTGTCTTCGTGGACCACCTTCTGGCCCTTTCCTCACTTCCTCCAACCCTTCATCATGCACCGGGAAGGACGTCGTCGGTCTCCTGAGTGTTGGTCAGCCGTCAAGTCTCACAGGTCCTACATTCGTAATACGTACAACAGCCGACGACTGCGCAGAGACGGCGAGCGAAACGGGGACAGCGGCGAGAGTGGCAGCCTGGAAGAAAGTTAGTGCCGAACTCTGGGCAGTTTTCACGAAGCAAAGGCTTACAACGCGTGATGGCTGCACAGGGGCTGCATTCACGCCCGGAGCAATGTCCGAACCGCCGCCAGTGGACTAGGAAGACGTCAGTTCCAAGGTCTCAGTGGCAGCGATAGTGGAAGAACATACGACACCCATGCGCTCGCCATCATACTCGTTGGCCAGACGCGAACGAGTAGCGTCGGCAGGCAAAGGAGCTGCATTCACGCCAGGAACAACGTCCAAACCGCCAGTGGACTAGGAGGACGTCAGTTCCAAGGTCTCAGCGGCAGCGATAGTGGAAGAACATACAGCACCCACGCGCTTGCCATCATACTCGTTGGCCAAACGGGAACGGACAGGGTCGGCAGGCAAAGGAATCGCGGCAGCGAGGGCGAGGAGTCGTGCATTGTCCGCCGTGATTCGCGCCGCGATGTGTTCGCGAACGACGCGCTGGAAGCGGGCGACGTTCGCTTCGTAGATGGCCTTCTCCCTCGGAATCGGGAGATGGTCGTCGGGCACCGCGGTGAAGGACACCAGTGCCGTGTTGGCAATGGTGAGCTGGAAGAGCTCCAGGAGCTGGATCTGAGCGTCGGTGAGCTCATCACCTGGCAAGCCATCCCCCGGGGTGAGCTTCTCGCGGTGGATGATCAGCGTCTGCTCGGTCGCGGTGTTCGCCATTTTGGCGTTGATGTTGACGGTTGTGATGAAAGGAATACGCGAAGCTGTTTGTGTGGGCTTGGAAAAGATCTTTCTAGGGAGCCCGAGCTTTGTTACGGCTCCCGGCAAGCTGTTGTTGCGCCCCTGGGAGCTACGTCTGTCTCTTCTGGGCTGACAACAAGCTGAGATCTTGTACAGTAGAGGAATGGTATCATGGAGCCTGGCACATACTGTCGGTGCCTGCTGCAGGCTCCTTTTGCAGTGGCAGCTAATATAATCGAACAACGAAGTCCTCTCTTCTACTTACCGTCTCAAGACATTGCTTGCAGCTCGCGAAGACGCGTTCTATAACCGACTGACAATTCCATGAGAACGCGAAGGTAGGGCATTCGACTCGAGGGCTTGTCAGGACGTAGATGGCAACCCATGCTTATTGTTCTCATCTAGCAGAAGACACTCTCTTGATGTCCTGTGGAAGTACAGTGCGGCACCAATCGAGGAGTAGAGCACTGACTTGACAGTAGAACATTCAGCTCCAGAGGCCACGCTCGAATCGAACCTGCAACGCGGTCGAGCAGGTGGATGGGCCGGACGTCCAACCAGTTCGATCTCTTTGGAGCCATCTTCCATGAACAACGCCGTACAGGAGATGGCGTACAGTCGAACAGCCAGGGAGCCATGTTGCAACGGGCCGTTTGCATTGAAGCGTGGATAGTTGGGATCGTGGAGGGATGGCGACGGCGAGGAGAGGATTCCTGAAGAGACCGCTATGTGGATAGTTGGGTATATACAGAGATGGACACAAGGAGATGACATCTAGAACCGTGGACGATGGACGATCATGATGGACGATCATGGCGCAAATTTGAGTTGGCCACGGATGGATGAGCGTACGATCATGATGGAAGGGCAAAAGTGCCGTTCGAGAGGAGCATTGACAGGCTGACAGGGAGAGGAAGAAGGATGTGACGACGGGACAAGTATCCAAACGGCTTTCCTCAAGATTATGGCTCGGTAGACCTTCATTTTCTCCAAAAATTGGATAGCAGGGTCGATATGAGCTTGCCGGGAAGTCATCGCTCCGAGGGTATCCAATGCCAATGGCTCCGCTAAGTTACTACTGATGATGCGCTTCTGCAAAGCTGTACCACCCAGCAAACCCAAGCAGGACCAGCAAAGCATCACCTTTAGTTCGGTACGCGCTGGTACCGCTGCTGTGTACCACTATCATCGACCGAGCCTCCTCACAGATCTTTCCACTGCCACCGATATGAAGCAAGAAGTCGATCCGTTAAGAACATTTCGCTGAGCCACCTCGGCATTTGGATATGTACATACAGTCACTGTTACTCACTAGGCCAGACAACCTACGACATCAGACGCACATCATGCAGCTTAGAGAGCTGCACTCGTGTTGAATGCAGAGAATGATCGTCTTCCTCGGCGATGATGGCAGGAAAGTTGTGCATGCCTCTTCTGCTGCTTATACCCTTCTAGGGCACAAAGCTTCCATTCTTTTTGCCCAAGGTCTGTTACTTCCACGGCAGTGTTCTTGTTGTTGTTGGCCTCGGGGARTTTGACGCCCGTGCCGACAGCGAGAAACAGCAAAACGTTCTCTCAAGTTCTCTCATCAACCTCTCCCGGAATTAAGCGCATCTAACGTTTAGACTTATAGGCAGGGACGGTTCAACGCTTGAAGGCTTGTCGACTCAGCAGCCTTCCCAACCGTCGAAGGCAGTCATGAGTCGGAGTCAGGGCTCCACGGGTCGCAGCCGGCGTGGGAAAGACGCTGAGTGATGATCCAGGTGCATTCGAAACTTGCGCTCGACTTTCAAGTGAAGAGTCCCAAGTGAAGGGTTTGTCAGGTCCGCAAAGACAGAGTAAGCACGACCCACCACGCAGGATCTGCYTGGAAGCACACACGGTACACCGCCCAACATCGACGCCGTTGGACGATCGGAAAGGCTACGTGAAGCCAGAAGCTCGACAAAAGTGGAGGAGAGGTGGACTCTTGGAGTCTCTGCGCAGTTCTCCGCAGAACTGCCAAGATTGGACACGATCTGCTACCAAGGTGGGCCAGGATCTGCTGCAAAGTAGATCCCGAAGTGCCCGACTGTCCAATCAGCGCTGTCGTCGATATGCGGCCGGTTGAAACAGGAGAAAAGCTTGGAAGCTCAAGGGCGCGAGACCGAGGCCGCTCGCATCTTCGTTGCTTGTCAATTGACGATCTACAAGCCGAGCATGGTTCAAGCTGCAACTCTCACCCACTTCGTTCGTGTGATGGGATTTGGTCTCATGCATCTCTGCCGAGACCTTGAGTAATCTTGTTATATGAAAGAGTCGTTGTCTCGCCGGACTTTGTGCGATTTTTGGATCCCTTCACACTCTTGCGGACGAACCCTGGCTAAGCCTCGCGTGGCACTTCCCGAACTAGTTTTCCACTAGGTCCTTGATCCCTGGTCGAGCTTATTGGCCGTTATTGTTTCGGAAGCCGTTGATTGTCTTGTGACACCGTCCTTCTCCTGACTGCTGTCTATCCACAGTCCACATCTCCAACGCATCTTCGCGCGTCGCGCAACGAGCAACAAACACAACATCACCTTCCACCATGGCCGTGGACCCGAGGGACTTCACCATGAATGACTCCTCAATGCACTCGTCTCGGCAACCCAGCACGGGCAGCAGCACCAGATATGAGGAGAAGCTGAGCCAATGGGCAACTCAGGACACTTCAATGTCCACTTTGCCCAACAAAGAAGCCCTCGCCGCAGTCGAACCCACTGTTACGACCTTTGAGCAATCACACGATGGACGACTCTATGATCGCGACGGTAACCTCGTCAGGCAACCCGCGCCCACCGCGGACCCCCGGGATCCTCTCAATCTGAGTACCACACGCAAACTCGTTGGAGTTGGTTCACTCTGTTTGTTCGGAGCACTGGCAGCGTCCGCAGAGTTGATCCTCGGCGCCATGCTTCCAGTCTTTGCATTGGAATACGCTGGCGTCAACCCCAAATTCCTCAAATATTTGACCGAGAACCTGGGAGGTCTGCCCGCTGGAACCGATCCATTGAGCACTCTCCAGAACAAGACGCTCTTCCCCAACGCACCACCCATCTGGCAGATCTACCTTCTCGCTTCTTTGCCGGTATTGATGATGGGAGTTTCCAACCTGGCTCTGATCCCACTGGCTATTTCGCTCGGACGGAGAAGTGTAGWTCTCGGWKGTSGCSKKAT